ATTGGGAATAAGTTGAATCATTCTATGTTTAAAATCTACACGTGGCATATTGGGTGGAAACATAATACATGAAAGTGTAGATGTGTGCGTGGGATGCAGGTAATCATGCAAAGTTCTATACGGTGCATCATGCTCACTATCAGACATTGTGTTAATATTTCATTGCGCGCGCGCCGTTCATTGATTTTAGACTCGGTAAGTAAAATTCATGCCCATGCACGCGCGAAAGAATTTGCCTGCGCGAGCGTACATGTTTGTCTCTGAACCGCGTTCAGTATTTTAGTCATAACTTTCTCCACATGTATCCGATTGAGCTGATTCAAAATGCGTTGGAAAGATAACTCAAAGGGCTACAACTTTGCTTCAATTACCATATTCTAATTCGATATTTTTCCATATCAAAAACTGATCTCAATATGAAGTTGAAAACCTATGCAAAATTTTTCAGTTTGAAAGTTGATATGTGATAATGTTTTGACTATGTTTCATCCATTTGACTCCTTCCTTCATCCAATTGAACTCTAACACTCTCGAATCTTTATCACAAGGTTAGAAACAAGTTAGAGTATTTGCACTTTAGTCCCTGAACTTTTGTTTTCCCCCATTTTGATCATTTTTAACTTGTTTCTCACTATTTCTGCTACATTCATTGCTTGTCCTGCAAACCAAGAATTACATAGAATTAAGCTATATTCCAACATATTAATCAACAATTGCTCATGTTTTGACAGTAAAAGAAGTATATAAAACGCACTTATCACTGTTTTTTTAAATTGGAATTTAAAAAATATGGTTTCATGTAATTTCCACCTTTTACTTTGGCCCCTGTTCGGGCTCTATTTTATTCAAAATATGTTTTTCTCTCTTTTTTTCTTTTTAACCACACATTCTTCAATAAAATAATATTATCCGTAAATAAAAAAAATCTTTATTTTTTAACCAAATATTTTTTAAAAAATTACTATTACAAAATAATTTTTTTTTTTCCAAATTTTGATTTTAATGGAGTCCAAACAAGGACATAGTAAAAAAGTATAATAAAAATTCATCTAACCACTTGAATCCTTAAAATAATATAACTAGCCTCCTTATAATCATACAATTAGTTAACCCGTCATTACCTATCATCAATTAAATCATAAAATTTATATCAAATCCCCATATTCATCCACAAAAGTCTCACTTTACCAAAAAAATTTCTAGTACGAAATACTTCTTTCATTCAGCATCCATTCGTCTTCCTTCATCTCCTTCCAAATAATTCATCACATTCCTTTCCTTAATTTCGTCCAAATAAGTCAAACAATCAGTTGAGCAAAATGTTTCATTACTCACCCAACTTATGCTATGAACACTGTTTACTTATCAAACTTTAAATTGTTTTCCAAATGTTCATTCATTTTTGAGACGTTGTATTGCATCCATCATCCGTCACATTTCGTTCCCCGTTGTTGATGTGTCACAAGAAAATCTCATTGACAAGTTACGACCATTAAAAAAACTACAACCCAACCAAACAATTCAACTCACCGTAAGTTTCTTTAATCCCTAATTGCAAGTCCCTAGTTTTAGCCTAAAAAAATTCTAGCTCCCAATTCACTTATCTCACCCACATACATTAATTTCGTTAATTTGTATATTGAATTAAGACGAATTGTCGAGAAGGACACGATGAGTAACTACTTATAAAGACATATTCCCCAATTATAACATTTGCCTAATGTCTCTTTAATCCCAATTGCGAGTTTGATGATTTAGTTGAGTTGCAATTTTTTTTAACGTGTAACTTATCACGTAAGATTTCCATACAACACGTCAGTAATGAGAAAAATAAAATTTGACGAATGATTGATGGAGTTTAACATCTCATGGATGAGTAATGAATCATTTTACTTGGATAATTTGGTTGAAATATAATTTTTTTAACGATTGTAATTTGTCACGTAGGACATTTGTACGACACCTAGTTCAATGGCCAATTTTAAATGATAAATGCTTATTGTACATCATCATTTACAAATTCTTTTACAAATGGATGAAGTGACGATATATTGAATTAAAGCTGTCAACATTTTTTTACCACTTAATTGGTTGTGATTATGTAACGTGGGTTAATGTCAAAATTTATTTTTATTTTGTTGGTCAAATCTTGCCACATTATTTATTAATGAATAAATATATAAGTTGTGATGTGAACGTAGAATAATTGTTTCAAATTAAGTTAGCCTATGTTTGATCGTCATTATTTTCAAAAAATAATGTTTTGAATAGTGTTTTTTTTAGAAAATGTATGTAAAAAGTTGAATTTTTTTTATTTTGCGTACAAAATATTTTATTGTATGAATCAGAAAAAGAGTGAATTAAAAAATTTAGTGATCTATGAAATTAATATTGTGGGTGTGTTTGAGCCACGTTATTTTGGAAGAATGTATTTTGTAATAGTAGATTGATAGAAAATGTGTGGTTAAAAAAAAAAAAATTATTAATATAGTGAAAAATATTATTTTATTAAAAAATGTGCGGTCGAAAATGCAATTCAAAATGAATTAGAATGAACGTGGCTGAGTGCCGAACGGACTCGGAGTCTCAACGGCAAGCAAGAAACCCTCAACAACAATCTGTCTGCTAAATATGCCGCTAAGCGCAACGATGGTGGGAGCCCTGCTGGGACTGGGTACCCAGATGTACTCCAATGCCCTTCGCAAGCTTGGAATGTACGCGGCATTCGTGGGAGTCTTTCCCTATTATCGTTATTATAGGAACTGTATCGGGACTAAAGTGATTGCTTTCAAAAAATTTGCAGATCCATGGGAGCATTTGCTGGGCATGGGGCTGGGCGCGGTCTTTGCTAATCAGATGGTGAAGTGGGACGCCAAATCCCAGGAAGATCTCGACAAGTTACTCCTGAAGGCCAAACAAGCCAACGAACGCCGCTACTTTGGTACCTATTTGTTTTTCTGAGTTTAACTCTCGCAATTCGTAATTGGATAGGGTTTATGGATATATCTGAAACCCCTTTATTTTTTTCCCTTCAATTTTCCTTCTTATTCTTAAAGCCTGTTTGGGAAGTGTTTATATTATACATAAATAGAAATGAGTGATGGATAAGCTGTGGATAATGCTCGTGCATCCGTCCAAATGCGTGGGTGAAAAAATTGATATAAGTGTGTATAAAATGAGCCAAACATAGGCTTAGAGTGTTTATAGCAATTATTTTGCGCACTTCTTCTTGCAATTACTGTGCATATCTGGTCATGATTTGTGAAGTTTGGGTAGCAGAAATGTGTACTTTTTTCTGATGTCTAATGTCTTTGACCTAAAGTTGGCCCTTTTGTCAATTGAGAAGTTATGTTATTAGCCTCTTGTTATTAGCCTGTCTTTCTCTAAGGAAGACATAATTTTGACACCCAATGTACTTTGGAGAAGATTAAACTTTCAGGTTCCAAGCAAAATGATAGCCTTTTATGGTCAAATTGCCTAAATTTTACCATTGGTCTTATCCTTATCTTGGTATATATTTTTTTACCCATAGTTTAATTTGATGTACAGGGGGCAAAAGCTGAGAAAAAATAGCAAACATTTAAATTTCCCTTTAGCATTCACAATCTGTGAATGCAGGGCATTCCCTTATTTATCTTACATTGCGGTTCTTTACTTACCGCCTCTTTGTTGAAGGGATGATGCATATGTACATGCATATAGAGAGGTGGTGTAGTTAGGAAAAAGTTGGTGCTGTTAAAGAGAGTGGGAAAAATGCTGCTGTCACCTTCCTCTATGTGGGGAGAGGGTAAAATGTGGTGGTAATTGTTGACATCTAAATGATGATTAACAAATTCATGTCACATAGCCAGGTTTTCCCCTCCTAAATTCACTATTCTGCTGCTCGACAGGGAGGGAGCAAGAAGAGAAATGGTTATTTGCGAGGAAGATATTCAAATTCAGCATAGCATTCTTTATTCTTGGCATGCTTATTTATAAATTTCTATTCAGACCTTAGGGTAAATGAGTTTTTTTAGTTGGCAGCATGTGGCAGCCATTGATTGACTGACTTCTAGCTGATTCTATTATCTGCTCACATTTTATTCACCAGCTTAATCCTTAAGTTTTTGTTCAAGTATATTGGCTCGCATTTATGTATTTAAGGTCGCTTATGAGGTTTCTCCCTTATGAGTGCTTTTAGCTCATTTTGAGTTCGCATATTCTTTTAGACTTCTTTAGAATGTTAGTTTAGATACTCTAGATGAATATTTCATATATGACAGTAATTTTGCAGCCGCTTTAGGATTATCCAGTTGGGTGAAACAGGTGAGCTCTATTGAGAACCTGTTCTGTGCTCCAATAATAATGAAGCTGAAACCTTTTTGGATCATTGTTTGATGAGTAGTTAGATATTTTTGTCATTTATTTTACTGTTGAGGAAGAAGACGAGGCTAGAACTTGTATTATAGATAGTAGAAAAGTGAAATTCGCTCTTCCATGCAATGTTTAAAAGGGCTTAATATGGTACAAGGCGTTTTTAAGACATTATAAGGTGTAAGTCTTAAACCAAAAAAATGTTAAAAAACTATTAAAATGGAAAATAAGCACATTACAAATCATAAACATTTTTCAAAGTTCAAATAGAAAAATTTGAAGTATGCAAACAAGTTTTATTTTTTATTTTTTTAAATCTATGGGTTACTGCAAAAGTGGGTTAATTGGAATTTTTGAAGTTGTGGGCTCACACCTAAAGCAAATAAAGAAGAAAATTAAGGAGCACACACTTCTCAAGCCTCGAGGTGCCGCTATGCCTTCAAAAACTACGTTAGAATCAGTGCCCTGAAGCATTTCCTATTCGCCTCGTCTAAGATAGTCCTCAATTTGGATTTTTTAAAATCATGCTCCAATGTATAATTTGATTAGGCTAGGGGATCTCTAGTTCCTAAGATGTATGATAGTTAGGGGGCTGGGAAAACTTCACCTGATAGTATGTAGCAATTCAAGAACTGCACTAAAATGAACTTCATATTTTCTGGTTTTTTGACCCACCCTCGCCATCTGCTTTCTCAAGCGGCAATTGATGCTGAATAGGATTAAGTTCAGTTGGTATGTCGCTGGAATTGGGCAATGGTGAGACTTTTGTTGGTTGTGTCCTAGGAAGTCTTTTCCCTTTCTTATATCTTTACGCTTAATAATTTGGGTAGCCTGGAAGTTAGCGCAGTAGATAACGCCTTTTTTTATTCTCACTAGTAAATAATTATTGAGATTCATTGGCCTTGTTGATGCAGATGTCTCATTGAGAGAAGTTAAAGAAAATAGAACAAAGAAATAGAGAAGAAACAAGAAGAAGTAGAGCAAGACAAGGTAGATAATTAGAGAAGAGAGGAGAAGAAATTAGGAGGAAAATCTGTATAACTTGTATTCAATAATAATGTCAAAAATAAACTTGACAATCTAGGTCTCCTTTAAAGAACAAAGCGGTTAAATCCAAGGGGATTTCCATGGTTTTAAAATATCCAATTGAAGTCTTCCTCAGAGTTAAGCATCCAAAAAAATGTGAGCGGTTTTTTGAGGCGTACGCCTCAATTGTGCGAGGCACACGCCTCACCTCACTGCTTTAAGGTTTGTGGCCCACCGAACATAAAAATTCTGATACACCTATTTTGAGAATATTTCACTTCCAACTAAAATATTATAATTGTGTTTGTTATAGACCTACTTTGTGAATAGTATACTGATCCACCAACTAAAATATTAAATGACATTTTTATTCATTTCACACTTGTAATATATAAAGAAAAAAATATAAAATAATAATAAAAATTGAGTTCGGTTCTTGGTTCTATAACTAGAACCAGAACTAGAACCAAATGGTTCTATGTTTAACCAAAATTATTAGTATTATTATTATTATTTATTTATTTTTTGGTAAAACCAAACCGTTTGGTTTGGCTTGGTTCTGGTTTGTTCTGGTCATTTGTCCACCCTTGAAATTAAATATACAAGTTATTTATTTTGATAATACCATTTATTGCATGTTAAAAATAAGGTTTTTTTTTTTTTTTTTCCAACTTACAATTATGAATGAGCAACATATGATAACATACATAGAAACACAAATTTAATTACTCTTAAACTTGGCTGAACATTTAACATCTCTTACTATTAAAACGAGTCATTTATTTTTAACTTTTATCAATAAAAATTATTTATTATAGATTTTATTTATTTAATTATAAGTTAACCTTTTAAACTTAGTCAAACATGCATGAAATAAATTGTCTAATTTGGTAATGAGCTATTCCAGTTGCATAAATGTGGGTGAAATGAAATATGTAATTATTTAGAGTCTTCAACTAAATTTGGGCAATTTGACAATGGGCCTGGGCTGCGACTGAGGTTGGCTGTGCTAAAATTATTTTTTGGACTTAATTTAAGCATAATTTGTTTGAACAATCCACTATAAATCTGGGCCGAGGCAGGCCTGGGCGCCTCCCCCTACATCGGCCCCTGCATGCATGCATATAGAGAGATGGTGATCTTAGGAAAAAAGTTGGTGTTGCTAAAGAGAGTCGTACATACAGCCATATCCTTCCTCCAAGTGGAGAGAAGACAAAATATGGTGGTAATTCGGCAGCCACTGTTGCGTCCAATCATGGGAAAGAAATGTGTCAACTGTTCCATTAGATAAAATAGGCGAGCTCTATTGAGAATTAGAACCTGTCAGTAACAAAGCTGAAGCCTTTTAGTTACCATTTTAGTCAGAAACAGATTGAGCACATAAATGCGAGGAAGGAGAAAAGGCTAGAACTTGTATTAAAGATGATAGAAGAGTAAAATTTGGTCTCCCGTGTCTAATTTGATTGGGCTAAGGGATCTCTAGTTCCCAAGCTTTATGCAGTTTTGGGGCTGGGAAAACTTTTGCTGATAGTATGTCGAGAACTTGCACTGAGACGAATATCCTGTTTCCTTATTTTTTCACCAACCTTACTATATTCTTCCACAAGTGGCAATTAATGCCAGGTGGGATTCTGTTGGCTTGTGACAGGGAGACTGGGCAATGGTGAGACACATGATTGAGACTTGTGTTTATTGCGACTTAGGAATTCTTTTCACCGTCTTAGATCTTTACCCCAATTATTTAGGAAGTTTGGAAGTCAGTGATTTAGATTTTGGTTTTATTTTTTTGCTTCATATAGTATACAATTGCTGAGATCCATTGGCTCTGTGTATGTGCATGTGGATATATATGGAGGGGACATGCCCGTGCCCTGTAATTATGCTGTAACAAAGAAGAAATAAACTCTTGGACAGGGAAGAAGGTTGCCTGCCACTGCTTTCTGGATTTACCCCTGTTTACTTTCTGCCACTTAAGTTTGTTGGTAATACTTGCAAAAAAATCCTTATTTTGCTGAATCATTCTGTGCCCCTATGGTTAATACGGTTTTCTGTTGCAGAGAGATGGGCCATAGTTGGTCTTACTGTCTTTTAAGTTTTCTGTGTGCTTTAGCTTGTCTACATGTTGCCCTTTAATACCTTTCCCCTTAACCTGTCTGATTTTTTTGCGACTTCTGATTGCAGATGACAATGAAGACTAAATGTTAGAGGGAACATGTTGAAGCACATTTGCTTTGGGATTCACTCGTCAAACAATGTAATGTCAGCGCAAAATCTTGTCCTTGGTTATAAACTATTGCTTGCCTAATCTTTTTTCCTCTTTTACAAGGTTAAGGTACAATAAAATCCCATTGCTGCAAAACTGATTCTGAGGAATACAAACATGCATAACACAGTTTCCTCTTCTAGTGTTGCCCTGCAATGCTCATTATTTCCACTGCTTCATTAGCACATAATAATACATGCTTATTTTACAGTTGAATGATTTGTATTAACAATCTTAGCTTTTAACCTTCCATAGATAGATTACCAGTATGAACTCGAGTGATGTACAGAAGAAACCTGAGTTGACAAATAATTGCCTGAACTGTAAAGTTAGTGACTACATACCATCACCTCCAACAATAATTAAATTTCCACAGAATGCCAGACCAAACTTGTGGGAGGTAGTGGAGATTAAAATCTTCACTTATTTGTACTTGGGGGCAGTGAGAAGGAATCAATAAAAACCAAGTTGTAGGTAGGTAAACACCAACATATTACTGGTCGAACTTCTGAAAGAGATTTTTTCAAATCATGAACTAATGCATATAGATGATCTGGGCCCATTTTCTCAGACTGAACCATCTTATTGTCAAGTACATGTATAAGGAGATTACAAGCGTGCCGTGATGATAGTCTTTCTGCAGGTGCAGTTTTTGTGCACTGCAAGGCTACTTCTAACACTTGGAACGCAGCAGTTTCTTCATTGGGTAAAAGTGGTTTCAGCAGAGGATCAATTAGCTTCTCATGTTCAGATCCTTGGATTTCCATTCGTGACTCGACCCTTCTAACCGTGTCTATATCTACACCAAAGCTCCCACCTGTTGGCATTCTTCCACTTAGCAGCTCCATCAGTACTCACTCTTTTCTGTCACCTTTTAGGAATTAGCATACTCTGGAAATGCGAAAATCGTGATGTTAGAAACTGTAAATCAACACTGATTGTTCAGCTAAATGAAGGAGTGAATTTAAATTACTAACTGATAATTCAGAGAGGGAAATTGATCTTGTACCTGGAGCAATGTAGCCATAAGAACCTGCAAACCGCAAATTAGATTCAGTATCTAGGCAGTCATAATAGTCTGTGAGAGATTTTGCCAGCCCAAAAACTCCCAAGCACTTCTCCGTGTTTGCTTCTAATAGCAGATTGCTAGCGTTAACATCTCTGTGAATGATATTGGGCACACCTATGATACTTGGACTCGGGTACAGGTATCGGGTACATATTTGAGTGTCGGATCTTTTATTTTCTAACATGTAGGATATTGCGATATGGCTAAAAAGAGTCAAAATTTCGAATACGAGTACGTGGGTACGCCTTTCAAGCTTCAATTTTTTTACTAGCCCAAGATGTCATTTTGAATAAACCAAAATCAATTGTTCACATAGAAGGAAATAAATATTGAATAAGATGTTAAAACGAATAAAATTGAATTTTGGGGTTTAGTTTTCAATTATGGGAAGTTAATTACTAAATGTTATA